GGAGGACATTTTTACATTTATCTTCAGAGACAGTGGGAGGGAGGGAGGGAGGGAGGAAGAGAGAGAGAGAGAAGCATCCATACGAGAGAGACACATTGAATGGTTGCCACCCACACGATCCCAATTGGGGTTGGGAACAAACTGCAACCCTTAGCGGGAACTGAACCCGGGACTCTCCGGTCTGTGGGTCAATGCTATAACTGCTGGGCCAAACCAGCCAGGGCACTTTTCTCTTACAGAGAAAATTAAGACCAAGAGATTTTATTTTATTTTTTATTTATTTTTATTTTTGTTACAGATGTTTCTCCTTTCCCCCCCACTGACACCCTCCACCCAATCCCGCCCCCCCCCCAACATTGTTGTCTATGTCCATGGTTACGCATACATGCATACAAGTTCTGTGGTTTATCTCACCCTCCCACCCCCCTCTTCTGAGGTTTGTCAGTCTGTACTCTACTTCTATGTCTCTGGGTCTAATTTGTTCTTCAGCTTGTTCACTGTATTCCACAAAGAAGTGAGATCATTTGATATTTGTCTTTCTCTGATTGGCTTGTTTCACTTAGGATAATACTCTCCAGAAGACCAAGAGATTTTAAATTAGTTAGCTAAGCTGAGATAGAGATGTAGAACAAGAATTTAGGTCTAGCCCTGGCCAATTTGACTCAGTGGTTGAGCATCGGCCTGTGGACCAGAGAGTCCCGGGTTCGGTTCCCGCTAGGGGCACGTACCACCAAAAAAAAAAAAAAAAATTTAGGTCTACATTCTGAGTCTTAGTTGGGTCATCTTCTTGGTATATTTGTGTACTTCTAAGATTCATAAGTAAAAATATATATATTTATGCCAACAGGCTCCCTTTTACTATGAAGCCCTATCTGGAAACTTCAAAATGAATGAGAAGTTTAGTGGGACAAAATCACCGTAAGCTAAGGGGAATTCTGCCTTTATGTGTACAAGTATCTCTATAAAAATAAGACTTTTAGTGCAGAGCTATACCAACTGACTCACAATATTCTCAGCTTTAGCCCAAACAACTGGTGAATCATAAACTGAAACTAATTAAATGACAATTTGCTCATCAAAGAAATAGTAAATGCTTATTATGTATTAGATGTTTAGGGATAGAAAATGCAGATGTAAATCCTACTGTGTGAGAACATCTAGTTAGTAGGAGCAATATATACAAGCAACTTTAATCCAGGATACAACATTTTAGGTGCTATAGGAGATAAATGTGGTATTATTTTCACCTGGGCATCATCAGGGAAGGCTTAGGACAGAGCTTACACTCAAGGTAAGTATGTGAGTAGGGAAGAATTTATGATGCAGAGAATGAAGAGCATGGGAAAAGAAATAAGCAGGGCATTCCAGACCAAGGGGCCTCACATACACCATTTAGCTATGACATGTAGTGTATGCGAAGTAAGGTGGGTCATGACAGGTTATAAGGTTGGAAACTGAGTTTTAACCAATAAGCCTGGAATGCCAAGCTGTCTGGTATGTATTTGAACCTGAAATCAGTGGGGATCCACAGTTTTGGGGTACAGGGAATAGCATGATCAAAGCTGTAGCCTTAGAAATAATCCTACAACAGTGAGGTTACACTGGTTTAGGTCACAATGATTACAACGAATTCCTTGGATCTTTCTGGGGATGCATCAGGAGTTAAGAGTCCACCTTCCTAGAGTCAACACTATACTTTTTAAAAAGCTGGAGAGCCAATGGTCTATGTTAACTTGGAACAACTTTGAAAAAGTTACAAAAGCTCTTTATCTGGTGCTTTAAGATTTTTAATCAGAGAATTTGTAAGAAAAGGCACGACTAGATCTTGGTAAAGGGACAGAGTTTGGTGGGAGTATTAAGGGCTAAGAAATTTCAAACAGGCGGTTAGCATTATGAAGCCAGGCAGATGAATATCCCTGGCTCTCCAAATGTGTGCTTTAACAAAATTGGGGGAGGGAGGAGTGTGGGTGTGAAGGGTCAGTAGGTCAGATGTATGGACATAGAACTGGCATAATTTGGCCAGGTTTTGAGCCCAGATGACAAAGAGTAGCAGCACTATTTTAAAAAACTGCAAATATAGGAGCAACTCAGAACTCAGTGGAGGAAGGAGAAAGAGCTCCATTTATGAGGTGACATACAAGGTACTAGAGTTAACCTAAGCCTCGCTCTCTCAGGTTTATGGGATATGCATGAAGCAACTGGAATCTGAGAGAGATGTTAAATCAAGAAGTAAAATCTGTTGAGTGATCTTTCTAGTTGTTTTGTGAGATTGCAAGGGAAGATGATGATGAGAAAAACAAGGCCAAAGACAGCACCTGGGAAATACATGTTTTGGAAACAGAGCAGACAGGAAGAACCAGGAAAGGAATGCTTAGAGAAGCACGGAGTTGGGCAACGGTACATATGCAAAGGGCCACATTTTATGTGCCAGTTACTAGCCAAAGAAAAGTACCTCATGCTCTGGATGAGGGTCAGTTCCAAAGTCATACCTTACTATGGCACCAGCAAAATACTAAGAGGAAGTCATAAATAAGAGCCAACTCCACAATGACTCAGTAACAAAGCTTAAACAGATATGTGGGAGACTGTCAGAGAATTCTTTTCAGAAATAGTAATAATAGCTGAGTCTCTCATGTAAGGGAGAGGATGGCACTATTAATTAAGCCCTCATTAAATTTGAGAGCAAGGAAGCTAAAAAATGAAGGAGCAATAGAGCAGGACCTGGGAGACCTGAATAATAAACCTGGTTCTTTTATCCTACTCAGATGCAGGACCCAGGTCACAAATTCAGCTAAGTCTCCAAAAAGAAAGTTAAGTGGAAGCTTCTTCAGAACACTGGACTTCTATGAAAACCCATCAGTACTGTAGCAAAACGAAAGTAGGAGGGAATGCCCAAACCTTGGGGGAAACGTTATACTGTGATATGCCAATACCAGCAAGGGCATTAAAACACATGCAGCCCTGGCCAGTGTGGTTCAGTGGTTAGAGTGTCAGCCCGTGCACCAAAGGGTCTCCAGGTTGATTCTCAGCCCCTGTCAGGCACATGTGGAAGGCAACCAATTGATGTGTCTCTTTCACATGGCTGTTTTTCTCTCTCTCTTTCTTCCCCTCCTCTCTTCCCTTCCACTCTCTAAAAATCAATGGAAAAAATATCCTCGGGTAAGGATTAACAAAAAAATAAAAACAGGTTGCAGAAGACTAATTACATGGGAACATTTCATAATAGTGTTCACTCATTCAGTGAATTTTTATTGCATTCATAAGTGCCAGGCAACAGGCTAGGTCTTAGGGAATCAAGATGAGTAAGACATGAATAATGCCCTGGCCAGTTTTGCTCAGCAGTTTGAGCATCTGCCATAGGACTGGAGGGTCCCAGGTTCAATTCCCAGTCAAGGGCGCATACCTAGGTTATAGGTTCGATCTCCAGACCGTCATGCGTGGGAGACAACCAATCTATGTGTCTCTCTCACATGGATATCTCTCTCTCTCTCCCCCTCCCTCCCACTCTATCTAAAAAAAAGAAATCAACAGAAAAATATCCTCGGTTGAGGTTTAACCAAAAAAAAAAAAGACACAAATAGCAAGCTTATAGTTCAGAAACAACAATACTGATTCAAGTCATAAATGCTATAATAGAAAATGGTTTTATGGGATACACAGGAGCATTTGATCCAGTCTTAAGGCAAAGAGGGGTTCACAAATGTTTACCAGAGATCAGGCTATCAAAGCTGACACCTGAGTAGCCATGCCAAGGTGAAGGAAAAGCTCAGGACCTAGGAAACAGGCCCAGAGCGGTAGAAGAGAACTATGTGGAATGGTAGAGAGAGATGACAGGAGAGGAATATGCCAGAGAGATTATAAAGAGAGCCCCTGAGGACAATGGAGATTTACATGAAGAGGTGCATATAAAACATCCAACAGGAAGATTTCTGACAGTTGGTTATAGTATTATAGAAAAGCCACATGGACTGGAGATGTATTTGGGAGTACTAACAGAGTAACTAAAGCCACCAGAATACACATGTTGTAGCAGGAAGTATAGATAATCCCCACAGAGGTGATGAAAAGGGCCAAGGATACACCCAACACATCAGCCTCTAAGAAGGTGTCACAGGAATAAAAACCATTCCCCTCAAGCACGGTGATAAAATTAGGTGTCTAACTATATTTAAAATTTTTATGCATTACACATTAAAAATTTTTTGTTTGCATGTAGGAAAAAGACTATTACAATGTTAACAGTGGTTATTCAAAATCAATATAATAAATGCATAATTAGAAGATAATTACAAATTGATCTTCCAAAGTTAAATGGATTTTCCTCCTATTACAGTGTTAAATAACTAGTCCTCAGTCAAACATAATGATAAAGCAAGAAAAAGAGGTTTTTTAAACTGCTTTTGATACAGTTAATTTAATTCTATAGATATAAATTCAAAATTTGATTGCAAAGAAATCAAATTATTTCAGGGGGAGGGGGAGGTTGCTCTTTAACAGCAGTAAAGCACATATCATAGTAATCACAATGGTGTCTGGAACACAACACATAAACCTGCCCCTTTCCCCCACAGCCACTACCAGTCCAGGATGTGCTGTCTCCTGCTGGGTGATAGGTCAGCATGCCTCTAATGCTACCTTTGCCACACCCACCAATGACCTTCCATTTATAGTTTGTACACAGGGTAAGGCAAGTTCTATCACTTTCCCAATGGTCCATAGTTTTGTAAAGTTTAATATGTCACACTCCACAGGACAAAGAAGAATACCTTACAAAAGTATATGATACTGGGGGCGGGGGGGGGGGGGGGGAGAGATAAACCACAGATCTTATATGTATGTATAAGTAACCATGGACACAGATGATAATGCTGGGGGAGGGATGGGGAGGAGGGTGTCAATGGGGGAAAAAGAGAAACATCTGTAACAAAAATAAATTAATTAAAAAAATTAATTAAAAAAAAAACCCAACTATATGATACCGGGAAAATAAACACACTTGCCTCTGGGGACCCCTACAGTCAGACACCCAAGATGAGATGGTGTCTGATCTCCAAAGCAGAGCATTTACTGAGGTATGACCCATAATGGAAACAGGTGATTGAGAAAATGGCACTTCATGGACCTATAATGAAAGAGAAGGCACATGAACAAAATATAGGTATTAACAGCTTTGTTCCAGAATCTGACTCTGCTTGGACATCAGTAATTTAAGTTTTAAGTTAATACTAATATAAAATATCTACTGATAGATAACCTTAAACTAATGAATTCCAAAAAAGCCCACAAGCCGATGTCATTAGATGAGGTCATCTAATGTCATAGTTTTTTTTTTTAGCTTTGGCCTTGGAGGGATTCTGAAGGCCCAAGGATTCTGTCACTGAATGAATTCTGACAAGTCAGATCTGCGTGTTCAATGTTCTCACCTATGAAATAAGGCACAGGGTTAGGCTAGTGGTTTTCAAGCTTTTCTGACTCTGAATCACAGTAAGAAATACACTTTACATTGGGGTATCTGTATATACAAAGTACAGTAGTTTCATGAAACAACATCTTTCCATAGACTAAACTTTGCTATTTTTACCATTCTATTTTATTATTTAAAAAAATGTTAATTGCAACACATGGTCGGCTACCTGCAGTTTAAATGACACTGAATGATCTCTAGGCTCGCTTTCACTACTCTCATTCTAATGCATTTAATACATTTAGGCTTAATATTAGCAAAACCTGCCACCAAGTGCTAAATTTTCTTTTTCCTGTGTTTTTATAAATGGCAACTATTTATATTTATTACTTATGTGTCCTTACTGTTCTGTTTAAGAATCCAGCTCTAGGCACACTTTTGATCACCTACCCAGTGTGCTTTAGAAGGTTGTTATGAAAACCAAATAAATTGATTATATGCATTTAAGCATTTTAAACTGCTGTAACTAAGTGTAAGACATTTGTCAGGTATTCGAGTAACTACTCAACATCTTTATTATCTAGCGGTTTTAAATAAGGCAATGTGATGTAACATGCAGTACTTTCACCGTATCCCAAATGTAAGTGGCAAAATTGCTTTTTAAATATGTGTGCTTTTAATATTTCTAATGAATTTTGAGAGGAACCTCAAATTACAGGACAAATGTACTAAAGACTTGAATATAAAAAATAAAATCAGGAACATCTTAAATGAACGTCTTTATAAAATTTCTGGGGTAGAGAAGGCCTTTTTCTCTACACACCAGTAGACTCAGCAACTTTACCAAGATCAAAAAAAGATGTTATCATCCCCATTATCAGTTACATTAAATTCAAAAGCAACTAGGAAAAAAGTATGTGCACAAATGAGTTTTTTTCTTAAAAAGTTTAACATGTTTTCAAAATGTGTAAGTTACATATATTATACTTGGCCTAGAAATTTCACCAGTACAAATACCTCAAGAAAATAAATTTGTAAAAAATGTACATGCAAAGATGAAGGGAATAGGAGGGACCACACAATAATGCACTGGTTTAAAAAAAAAAAAAAAAAAAAATTAGGAGTTACTTTTTCCCTGAGTATCTCCCATGGATACATGAGGTATGTATGTCAATAAACTTGCCTGTTACAAAAAAAAAAAAAAAATCACAACACATCTAACTATATAACACTAGTCAGCTATTAAAAATGGTGATAAAGATTTTTATTAACATGGGAAGATGACAATATATTCGCAAGATTATAAAACACTGTATAATCTTTTTGTTAAAAAAAAAAAAAGTTACAGACATTTCTCGTCTGCCCAGATATATACCTAAATACTAATAATGGGCATCTCTGGGTTGATGAGATCAGCTAGCTCATACAGTGCCTCTCTGAGAATTAGAACAGGATACTTCCTTTCTCCAGGCTGACACCCATGCTCTAGGGTACACAGCCTTGGTGATCAGAGTGTGGATTTCAGCCTCCACACACCACTCCCCCACCTGCCCTTACAGAGATGCCCTTAGATTGAGATAAATGGATAATATGGATAATTTTCACCAATTCATGACATTCTGTCCTGGCTTACTATTATTATAATAAACAGAAATTTACTATTTGTTGACAAGCATGCTACTTTATTTTCAATTTTGAAAAAAAAGGTCTTGCCTTAATCCTACTAAAACTAATCTGCCCTTATAGAATGTCCTATCCTTTGATAATTTGTGCACATTATCTATTTAAATGCATGTATCAAATAAAATCTCTACCCAACATCATATAATACAACAGACAGATATAGAGAGAAGAAATGTCATTCTAACACAAAGTGAAGACACTAATCACTGGAAATAAGAAGGCAATGAGGAAGGGAGAAAACTAGTCTACAAAAATCAATCCCTCTCCACGACTCGAAAATTCCTTCATCAAAAGTTAGTACACTCTAGAAACAATAATTGTTCACCCCCACCCCCATTTAACTCCGGATGTAAGATGTATTTCCTCATCACACTAGTGGGTTCCCAAAAGACAGTCCTTTAAATAAGAGTCGTGAGTGATTACCATACAGTTAGGCAAGGCATCTGTAAAATAATACAACCGCTGGACTAGGATTAAAGGAGAACTGGGATCTTTTCTTGGCCCTGAGGAATATGTAATTTTACACAAAGCAAAATCACAACTTCTCCAGATCTCATTTTTTCTTCTCTAACACGAGGGTTGGGCTAAAAAAACCTCCAAGGCCCCTTTCAGTTTGTGATAGGACTTAAACGACCTTTCCATCCACTCTGGAGGAGCCGATTTCAGTCAGCAGTAAGAGTTTATTTTCTAAGCCATGCCTAATTTACTCTCTTCATGCTTCTCTTAAAAATGTGCCCAAATAGTTCTCAACTCTAGAAATTTATTCTCACCTAGAAAAAAAAAAGATCTGTCAAGACCCTCTTACAAAACATTTTTCAAAAAGCCCACAAAGAGTAAAATTAGTTTACTTGATTAATTTGTCAAAAAGAAAGAGCCACCCTAAACCAGCAGTACACTGGTGAACTGTTGAAATATTTCTTTTAAAACAAAGAACTCACGCATAGAAAAACTGCTAACAATATACAACCATCACACGTTTCGAAGGCACAGAAAACCAGTGTCATTCAGATAGGATTTACTTTCCCCCAACGAAGCAATTTTTCTAAGAAAGAAAACTTCTGTAATTAAAAAGAAATTAGGAAGGAACCAGGCTTTAAAGGTCTTTTCACTGTCCAAATTCAAGTGCATCACCGCGGCATTCATGCAACCCACACACTTAACACTCACTCGCACTCTCTGCCGGGTTGGGGTGGCAGCGTGGAGGAGTCACAAGATAGCGGCGGGAATGGAAATTTCCTCTCCCCGGGCGTGGGGCAGGATCTGGCTTCCCCGAACCTCTCGGCGCCGCTGGCGCCTCCGCCAGGGCCTCTCCCGGCCGGCGCGCTCCGTACAAAGGAGGCCCGGGCGCTCGGCCCCCTGCACGGTCGGGGCTGGGCTCCGGGCCGGGGTCCCCGGCTTCCGGCGCCGCTCGGGGCGGGAAGCCCGGGCAGCACGTGCGCTCTGGGTCGGGAGGAAGAAACCTGCGCGGCCGGGCCGGGGCTGCCCGCGGTCCCACGGCCTCGGCCTCAAGCGACGGCCCTCCCGCCCCGCGAGAAATGAATGGGCCGCGCTCCGCCACCACCCGGGTTAGAGTCTGGAGGCCCCGGGGCGAAAACCGCTACGGGCGGCGAGGGCGGTTCCTGGGGCCCCCAGCGCGGGGAGCCGCCTCCCGCTTTCCTTTCCCATCCGACCCCGCCCGGCGCCCCCGGACCGCGGCCGGCCCCGGACGCCCAACCGCCGCCCGCTCACCCCAGCTCTTGGCGGTGCGCCCCAGGAACTCTCCGGTGGTCGGGTTGTAGATGAAGCGTTTCCACTCGGCCAGGCTCTGGTTGAAGGACTTCTTGTCTTTCTTCGTCATGGTGTGTGCGCCGACGGCGAGGGGAGCGGCGGCCGCGGGGGTGGAGGCGGCGAGGAGCGCGGACGCGCGTCGCAACTCAAGCGGCGCAGCCGGGCGACGGCGGCAGAAGGTGGAACGGCCGAGGACAGCTCCTCACTGCCGAGCGCACTCAAACCGACTGCGCCGGCACCGAGCCGGGCTGCCGCTGAGGCCGCGGGGAACCTGACGTCTCCGCCCGCCGCAGCCAATCCCCACGCCGCTGGACCCGCGCCGCCGCCGCCGCCGCCGCCGCCGCCGCCGCCGCCGCCGCCGCCGCCGCCGCCTCCCGCCCGCGGCCTGGCGCAGCCCAAGGCGGCGAGGAGGCCCCGCCCCGGCCCCGCCCCCTCGCTGGCCCCGCCCCGCTCCGCCTAGTGATCCCCGGCCTGGCTCCGGGACCGCTTCGGGTTCCCTCTAACCTGGCCGGAGGAAGCAGAGACTACGCAGAGCAGCTTTAAAAATCTGAAAGGCTTAATAAGAAGCAGATTTATAAGAAGGAGCAAAAGGTGGCGTCCGCCACTCGCAGGTTTCTCGGGAGAGTCTGGGGAGATGCTGTGGGCAGCTGTCCTCTGGGCTCCCTGCCTGCGGCGGCGCGGGGTAAGCAAAGCAGGGAAACGACTCCACTCTGCCATAGACGTCCTCGCGCGGGAGGGACTTAGCCTTCGTCTCCAAGCCGTCTCCAGGGGACCTCCTTTGAGCTCTGTGACGTGACTAGGATAGTCCGCTGTGTAGACCAGTGTGTTAGACGTGCTGCTGCCCAGAGAACGTCCGTCCTTGGCTCTGCCGACGGACTTAACCCGGAGTCTCGGGTGAATGGGGATTTCATTCTCAATATCCCAATCTCAATTAAATGGAGCGTAATTTTTCTTGTTTTTCAGAATTGATCAAGGAAGTCAATATACAGTACATTTCCTGAGGTTCTTGTCAACCAAAAGCCCTCTGCTTTTTCTCAGACACTGAGACTCTTCATCCACAGGAAATCAATTCTTCCTTTCGTGTTGATGCCGAAATAACGTTCCCGGCTTCTCAGCTTTCCCTCTGCAGGGAACCGTCCTCTCTCTCGGTCGGAGCCGAGGGTGCAGTCCACCCTTTCCTACGCGAGACGGAGCTGGAGAGAACCGTGCTTGGCGACTGTTGTGACAGGGTGAAAAGAATTCAGGAGCTTGTGCAGAAGGTGCAGGAAAAAGAAATGGAGCACTGCCGCCTATGTTTTAGTAGCAAATAAAAATTATGAATGAAGAAATGTAGCACACATGTTAGTGTTTGGAATGATGCATTATAATCCACCGGGAAGTTTAAACAGCCTGCAAACGTTAAAGGACTAAATGGATAACAAAATTCTGGCATTTCTCATTTCCTCACTTTGCGAATCAAAGCTAGGGATTAGGAATTACGCCTTTCACAAGTGGAAGAGAGAGGAGAATGTAATATTATAAAGTGATTTTTCCCCCGGTAAATTTATAATTCTGACCTTGGGAATAACCAAAATCCAGTTATTTCTTTGAGCCAGTGAAATCAAAACATTTGTAGAAGCATTTTGTATGTCTTTAATTCTCACCCTAGGATATTTTCTATTTATCTTCAGATAGAGTGGGAGGGAGGGAAAGAGAAAGAGAGAAACACTGATGTAAGAGAGACATTTCCATTGGTTGCCTCCCACACACACACACACCCCCCACCACCACCACCAGGGCCGGGGATGGGGCCCAACCGCAACCGAGTTACCTGCCCTTGGCCTGAATCAAACCCATGACTCATTGGTCCACAGGCCCACGCTCTAACCGCTGGGCCAAACCAGCCAGGGCTGTAGAAGGATTTTGTAAAAACTGGCATGAAATTAGTATTAGAAATAGCAAAACATTGTGCAAGTAGACTACAAAGTATTTCTTTAGTTCATAAGCAAGGCTGAAACAGAATTTAGGTATGGAAGTAAACTATTTTTTACTCATTAAAATATAACTACAAATTAGAAGAAAGCTAAAATACTGATACAGTTGATAATGGGCTTTTAAGTTCTGGTAAGAGATACAGAGTCTGTTGGAATAAAATACAAAATCCATCTGCTTTATTTATTTTGGGTGTGCACACACTAATAGCAAGCACACTGAGAAATAATTACTTGGCACACACAAAGAAAACATGGTAAGCAAGAACATAAAATAGTGTTTCAAAGATATTGAATGCTGTCAGACATTTGTAGTTTGTATATTTTTAATCATCCTCACCCGAGGACATTTTTCCATTTTTTGTTCAGGTAGAGTGGGAGGGAGAGAGAGAAAGAGAGAGAGAGAGAAACATCGATGTGAAAGGGACACATCGAGTGGTCGCCACCCACACAACCAACCAGGGCCGGGGACAAACTGCAACCGAGCTACGTGCCCTTAGCGGGAACTGAACCCGGGTCTCTCCGGACCGCAGGCCGATGCTCTAACCGCTGAGCCAAACCGGCCAGGGCTGTAGTTTGTATATTTTTAATGGTGATTAATATGACTTTCATATTTAGGGATTTGTAGTTTTCCAAATAAGGATTTAAATACAAATATAATTCAGTAGTTTCAAAATCCATGCCTAATTTACCTTTTTTTTTTTTTTCAATCCTCACCTGAGGATATATTTTTTCCTTATTGATTAAAAAAATATTTCTTTATTGATTTTAGGTAGAGAGGAAGGAGAGGGAGAGAGAGATAGAAAAATCAATGCAAGAGAACATCTATTGGCCGCCTCCTGCATGCCCCGCATTGGGGATCAGGCCCACAACCTGGGCATATGCCCTGACCAGGAATCGAACTGGCGATATCTTGGTGCATGGGTCGACTCTTGACCACTGAGCAACACCAGCTGGGCGAGGATATTTTTCTATTTGTCTTCAGATAGAGTGGGAGGGAGAGAGAGGGAGAGAAAGGGAGAGAAAGAAACATTGACGTGAGAGGGACACATTGACTTGTTGCCTCTGGAATGGCCCTACCCCGACCAGGGTCGGGAGGAACTGCAACTGAGGTACGTGCTCTTGACTGGAATCAAACTCTTGACTCATTGGTCCTCAGGCCCATGCTCTACCCACTGAGCCAAACCGGCCAGGGTAATCTATTCCTAATTTAATATAGTAACTAGATCCAACAGATTCCAGTTTGGAGAAAATTTTATATTCTCCTTAAAAACATGGGGACTATTTGTTTCTAATAAATGATACTTGAACATTACCTGGAAAATACTGAGTGTATTAGAGAATGGTGGACTACAAAGTCTGAGCAGATTTAATATAAAGTTTAATCACAGCGCCTTGGCCAGTTTGGCTCAAAGGTTAGAATGTGGGCCCTCGGACCAAAGAGTCACTGGTTTAATTCTGGTCAAGGGCACGTACCTCGGTTGCAGTTCGGTCCCCAGCCCACATCAAGGTCGTGCAGGAGGCAATCAATCTATGTGTCTCTCTCACACTGATGTTTCTTTCTCTTTCCCTCCCACTCTGTCTGAAGATAAATGGAAAAATATCTTCAGGTGAGGATTAAAAAAATAATAATCACAACTTTATCCCCTACAAGATTATTTTACTATACCTAAGTCTTCCTTTAAAAAAAGAAATTATTGCCCTGGCTGGTTTGGCTTAGTGGTTAGAGCGTTGGCCTGTGGTCCGGAGAGACCCAGGTTCAGTTCCCACTAAGGGCACGTACCTCGGTTGCAGTTTGTCCCTAGCCCTGGTTGGTCGTGTGGGTGGCAGCCATTCGATGTGTATCTTTCACGTCGATGTTTCTCTCTCTCTCTCTCTCTCTCTCTCTCTCTCTCTCTCTCTCTCTCCCCCCCACTCTATCTGAACAAAAAATGAAAAAATGTCCTCGGGTAAGGATTAAAAAAAGAAAGAAAGAAATTATTGTAGTCTGTGGTGCAGTTGATTAGTGAGTTAGGCTGTTAATTGAAAGGTTAGTGATTCCAACCTCCCAAGGACACAGCAGACTTTGTTAAGGAAGCAGAATCCTTTGTGGCTCTGTCCTCTGCACATTCTCTCTCAGCTATTACCTGTGAGAGGCCTCCTCCACTAAAAAAGAAATTATTTTGCCAGATAAATTATGGAATTTAGTATAATCTTTAATATAAATATATTCTGTGCAATATCTGGAACATACTTGACTAAAAAATTATCTTTGTCCATCTCAAATACAAATTTAACCAGATATCCTATATATTTATTTGCTAAATCTGGCCACACTACCTGTAGAGGATACCTATGAATCCCACTGTAATAACAGAAACAATCATTTATACACACTTAAATCCTAGGCCCTGTACTACTTGCTTAGTATCATTTCTTTCTTAATCTTCACAAATACCCTAAGGAAGGATGTGTTGTTTCCCTAATTTTGTAAATGAGGAAACTGAGGTTTAGTGAAATTAAGTAACTGGCCCATGGTAAAAAAAAAACAAAAAAAAACTACCCAACAACAGCACATGGGTTCAAATGCCCGTCTCCTCCACTACTTCTGCAGTGAATGATGACATGATGACACAGCTCTGGGGAAATTTTACAAAGCTGAAGGCCGAATGAGAGAAAACGTTGTTGGCCAATGGTTGGGTGTATTCTCCAATCAGCAGAATATGTTTTCTACTTTCTACAGGCACAAATAAGTTATTTTGGCTCTTACTCTACTAAAACTTAGTTTATTCCTGAAGCTTAGACTCGTGTGCACAGAAAAAAGTATTTCAGTTCTTATAGTAGCATCTTATTTGTGCCTTGGTGTTATAACTGATATGACTATGGTACTGAATCACTGAAAGGCTATTATTTGTCCCTCAGAGAATAGATATTGAGATGTCCAGAGAAATAGTCCATCCCCACAAGCAGCGGCTATAATTGTGTCAGCATTTTATTGTATCCTAGAAAAACAGTTGTGAATACATACTCCTCTCCACAGAAAATGTGCTTTTCCACACATTGATTTAAAAAAATTTTTTTAACTAACCCTTTATCAAACAGCATCTCTATATCC